ATGATAGTTGCCACGTTACATTTATATTCTAAACAGAATCAAAATCTTTATTTGCACTGGAGAAATCTGATAAGCTATGAAGTTCTTTTTTTTTTACAGATGTCACCATGTTTTAGATGGTATGTAATTATAAATATTTGCCATCGTTTCGAATTCAAGTGTTATGTTGAGTTTTAATGTAACGGTGCTTCCGAGATTCGTGGGAAAAAGTCACCCACGTATGTAAAAAAAAAATACTTGCCTTAAGTTCAAAACTTTTCCCATAACATTGCTGTGCAATATACATCCTGAACAAAATAAGTTGTTACAATAATCACATTCTGATGTTATATTAGATTTTGCGACAATATACTTAACATGAAATGAATCTTGATTTAAAGCTTTCGTGACTGCAGTAATTCATATTCTTAGTTTTTTCGGTAAAGTCACGTAGAAGGGAAACAACAAAATAATAAAATATATATAAAACAATAAAAAATTCTCACGACGTTTCGACCATAACTCAAACGGTCATCTTCAGGTGTCGAAACGTCGTGAGAGTTTTTTTTTATTGTTTTATATATTTTATTATTTTGTTGTTTCTCTTCAACGTGACTTTACCGAAAAAACTAAGAATATGAAATGAATCCTCAATAATTATCAAAAATCGACGACAAAGCAAGTTTATAAAATATACTGTCAACAATCAAAATATAAAAAATCAAACATGGCAACAAATGTCATGCCATATACGGTACAGTACTGTGTTGTACCCTACCTGGCAAACAGCGACTACTTGAAAAGACGATACCTGCCCACCCGGGTGTCGCCGCCGCCGCCCGCACCTTGACTCCTGGGGCCGCTGCCGGTGCCGCGCGTTGCGGGAAGAGGGAGGGACGGAGGAGGGGCGGGGCGGTCCTCCCCCCCTCTCCCCCTCTCTCCCCCCCTCGCCCCCCCCTCTCCCCCCCCTCTCCCCCCCTCTCCCCCTCTCCCCCCCTCTCCCCCTCTCACCCCCCCTCTCACCCCCCCCCTCTCCCCCCCCTCCCCCCCTCTCCCCCCCTCCCCCCCTCTCCCCCCTCTCCTCCCTCTCCCCCCCTCTCCTCTTCTCCCCCTCCCCCCTCTTCCCCCCCCTCTCCCCCTCTCCCCCCCCTCTCCTGTACTGTGAACAAAGGGATTTGCGAGTAACATTGAATGGATGCTGATGGGTGCCAGATGACCAAGGCGCCAACACGTTACTATGATGTTTGGACATAATTGAGGATCCAGACAAGTGTGCCACGGTAAATATTTGGCTGAGTTTATGCTACAGCCTGCCGTGATGGTTTTTTTTTCTCAAGAGCCAAGATGGGCATACATTTGTCTATCAGATTATTGGTTATTTCGGTAAAGTCACGTAGAAGGGAAACAATAAATAATAAAAATATAAAGCAATATTGATTTATATTTTTATTATTTTATTGTTTATTATTCACAAATTTTGATTTAAAGCTTTCGTAACTGCAGGGATTCATATTCTTGGTTCTTTCGGTAAAGTCAAAATATAAAACAATATTGTTTTATATTTTTATTATTTTATTGTTTCCCTTCTACGTGGTGACTTTACCGAAAGAACCAAGAATATGAATCCCTGCAGTCACGAAAGCTTTAAATCAAAATGTGTTTATCAGAGGAAACAAACAAGTTAATGAATCGAATTCTTAAACTCTAACACTATTATTATATTTTGGTACTGGCAAAGGAGGTCTAATGATGATCTTACACCAGCATTAACCCATATGCAGTTTTGCATCACTCGAAACGAATACTGCACAATTATTATCGAGTCAATACATTTGTAATGACATGATGACACCGGCTGGTGAGAAAAGGGAAGCACGGGTACAGGCACCGCTAAAACAACATCCAATCTGAAAGGGAGCGGTATCTGGGGCAAAGGCAATGGGCGGGGTTGGCCGAGATGCTCTGGGAACCCGCTGGAAGGTTCCACGATAGGGCGTGGCCGGAGGCGGAGCCTATCCGCGCCTGGGGCGATATAAGCGGGGGCGTAGGAGGACTCGGGGTTCGTGTGCGGAGTCTTGGGTCCGGACTGCATTGCTGCTCGCCGTCATCTCTGTCCGTCGTCCGGCCACGTGGAAGATCTCCTGCGGGCTTCCATCACCCTCCTCGGCACGCCGCAAGCAGCGACGTAGCCGAGTGTGGACGGTGGAACCGCACCGAGCGGTCGGCCATGTGTGTGTAGCCAGTAGAGACACTAACATCTAAGTGTTGTACCCAGAGTGAGAGGATAAGGTTGACCTGTGTTGTGCCCGTATAAGAATAAAGAAGACCCTCTGCACGATGTGTCGCGGAAGACGCTCATTCCACATTGTATCAATCAACTTAATTACATTAATCGATTAACTTTAAAAAAATGCCAAAAGCCGAACTTTAGAAAGTGTTTTTCTCCATTATTACGGCTCTTAACACAATTCTATTGTATTAATTAAAATGCTTGAGTTAACACTTTGTAAACTTCGTTTTGACATTTGAAAGCCATTCATGTATTTGCTGATATTGCATTTATCAATTTGAAGTGGGCCCAACTGAGTCGCAGACGTTCCTTTTAGAGGCAACGCTTTTATTTGTAACAACGTAACACAAATGGGTAACTGCCCCTTTACCAGACTACAGCGAGTTACTGTTACGAAGGGTCGATCCCTCACACGGGTCTCCAATCGCGTGGTTGCCTCGAAGAGCTTCAGCTTGAGATGTAGAGCTTCCTGCTTGTAGATGTTGAGCTTACAGCTTATAGAATGCAGCGACCCCGGTCCCTCTCAGGGACCCGCCTTATATCCCTCTCCGGTCGGGGCCGCTCCACCCTCGGCCCTGCCCACCTTTCCGAACATTCTCGTTCCTTCTCCATCGTTCTCAAGAGCTCTCTGGACACGTGATCACCCCCTAGTCCCCCCACCTGGGGCCCCCTGTATGGACATTCCAGATCACGTGTTTACGGGTCAACCAGTGCAATGGCCCGGGGCAACCCTGCCCCTGGGCTGACGCTCACCCCCTCCCCCCCCCCCCAGAGGAGCCCCCACCACACGCTGTGCGTGGTGCAGGCACTATCCCAGTGCTCGCCAAGCCCCACTAGGGCTGGTGTTACACACAGCCACCCACACGGTGCTGTCCACGCTAGGGCTGGTGTTACACACAGCCACCCACACGGTGCTGTCTACGCTAGGGCTGGTACTACACACAGCCACCCACACGGTGCTGTCCACGATGTAGGAACATCGAACGGCACGACCCTTCTGGGCCGGCACCAGTGACATCCCCGATGTCACTACAAATACTATAATTTCGTCACTCCGCACCCAGTCCTCTTCACCCCCCCCCCCCCCATGTGTGCAGATACTGACTATTGTATGTCGGGTGTGTAGGTATATATGCCTACAAAATAAAACAATTTGGGGAAGGGGGGGCATGGGGTGAAAACATTTTTTGGGGGGGGGGCGGTCAACAACTTTTGGAAACCTGTTGAATGAACTTCTTACCTCCACATCTGCTGGGGTCCACTTTCTATAACTTTTTGATTCAAGCCTTCCGAAAGGTTGTTATAATTTAGTTGACGGACAAACGGAACGCCGGGCTTTTATAACAGGCCATTATCGTCTGGTAGAAAATGCTAATTTATGTAAATTACTGTAATCATGACCGTTATTTATAAACATCCAGCTGGGGATAGACAAGTTATGCCCGAATGCCCAGTTAGAACACATGGACGCAGAAAGGTGCCACGTGTTTAAGCAAAAATAAAATGTCACTTGACTAGCACAAAAATCTATTTTCATCAATAACACTGCCTTAAAATTAAAACGAAATAATACGTCTCAATGGGTAACGACCCTTCTTTGATGTGCTTTGAAGGGCCATTGGCCAAAACGTCGCCTATTTTTCCATGTAAGGTAGCGTTATTTACGCATATTTGTCAAGCTTTGTGCAGACAAGTGGCCCACAAGTGGTGGCAATTTCATGCTGTTATTGGAGCCTTTGGGCAGATAAAACTCCGAAATAGTTTATGGCAATCAATGCATTCTCTATTATTGAGGGTTTGCATGATATAATCTAGCTGAAATTAGAAAAAAATTACCTGCGTGTATGAGCTTTACAAAGTAAATGGGAATAAAATGCATGGAATAATTCATTTTTTAAAAAATGCCACATCAAATTGGACATTCGACTTCACAAACCTCCATTCAAAACACATCAGAAACATGTTCTGTAGTCTCCTAGACATATTGTTGCATTGTAAGTAGGTGTCGCATGCTCTATTTATAAATGATCCACCAACCCTGCCCGATCCACCAACCCTGCGAAATGTTTAGCTCCAGATGACGCTGCAAAGTATTATCTGTATTTTGATATAGCGTGCTGATCTTAAATGTGCATTGAAAAATTTGATACTCCGACTGATGCTACTGTTGTTGTGGAGTAACTCATGCAGCCAGCTATGGCTCTAGGATTTTGTGTTACATGTTATTTATGTAATTTATTGTAAAAATTCGGTCACAGTCCCTGTGATCACTGTTACGTTGCAATTATGGCTTTATTTTTTGGTGATTTCGAAAACATTTTTTGGTTTGGACATGTTTGTTTAGTTGTAGTACGGAGTTAGACTGATGGCCTTAATCCAAGTTTTCTTGTGGTTGTTGTTGTTGTTTGACTTGCATCCCACTGGGATTTTTTGCACACAGCGTTGGTGTACGGTGCTTTTTTCAGGAATATTTTGCTGTTTTTTTCATGGATTTTCTGTTTGCACAGTCACATAGTCACTTTAAGATGTTTTTCTTGTTCGTGTTTGTGTATATGTTTGTTGTGGTTGCACCCGATTCAAGAGCCGAATGGCTCACAGGGCTATACCAACATAAATCAACAAACAACAACTCAACAACAACTGAGTCACTGGATTACAAGCAATCGGCACTACCACCCAGCTTCCATCATTACCATTGGTGTAACTCCCAAGATATCAAACCAACACCAGCTCTTTAAAGTGTTTTTAATTTCACTTCAAAATACAGTACAGTATTACAAAAAGTAGAAGGTACTTCCTGAGTGCTTATTTAGCAAGTGAAGATAATAACATTTATAATCTTGGCGAAAGAGCTGTGGCGGAAAGCACGATTGTTAACAGGGGTTGACAGAATTCCACATCTAACACCAATGCTGGAATTATCCAAATATGCACATAAACATTGGAAGTATAATAAATATTAACTAAAGGCTATGTAAAATACTGTAAATTTTTATTGAAGATGCCACGTTATTTAAAATATTTGCGTCCTTGCATTTTCTATTGGTCGTGTTTGCACAGCTCTCAAGCACACAGAGGCCCATTCCAGTTTGCTGCCCAGTGTGTTCAAATATCTCCCATTGCGCAGCTTAATGCAGATTTTCTTTTACTTAAGAAACAGTGCCAAAGTTTACTTTGTGTAGCCTGTATGACAACTGCTTTGTTCAAAGGTACAAAAATGTCGATCGGCTATCAGTTGTATTGTAAAGCTGTCCCAAAATCCTGGCCATAAAGACAAGCATTGAAGCTTAACATCAGTATCATATTGCTGTAAACGCCTTTGGAAAACGTGTTTTATTTTACAAACCCCAAAAATAAACTGTGCTCCTTTGCATACCATTTTACAAAAGATTTTATTTAACCTGGTTAGTCTGAACATTTTGCCCACACAGCTGCCCGAGTGGTTAACCAATGAGACAGTGCTTAACTCAACTGTCCTATCGCCGGGTGCGTTTGTGGGGTAAGGCGTCCTGTGAGGCAGCAGTGAGACCAAGCGCGGCAGCTCGTTCAAAGAAATATGCCTGTAGCCTCTCACCAGCCTTGGCCTCGTTGGTGTGCTGAGGATTGTAGTCAAAACAGTTCCGAAATAGGAGATCCACGTCTGACAAAAAGTCAGCTGTTGGTGACAAAAAATAGAAAGACTCATCAGCTTTCAGATCATCAAAGGCAACGGTTTTCTTCTATCATTATACTTCGCGGAATTATGTTGAATTGCATGGATTTTATTTCTTTATTTTGTATGTTGTGAAGCTGTTTTTGTCAAACTTACCAGAGGAGGCGTATTCCCAGCTGTTCAGCTTCTCACGTATCACATTCAAAGCAATGGGCTTTTTAACGATGTCATAATAATCTGGCACCTGTTTGAAAGTAAACATTTTACAACAGTACATTTTACAACAGCATGTTCACATCAAATATTGGATAATATTGCAATAAAAATGCTGTTGTGCGCAACTGTTGCTATGGTAGAAAGAATCAATATGAAGCATGTTTGTGCTATGTATTTCCAGCTTTGACAGCACAACTCCAATTATAGTAACAATAGTTCACTTGTAATGCGCACAGTATTCACTCACACTTCATAAATATTCAGAGGCGTGAGGCACCACAGACAAGCAGAAAAAGGCAGCCAGGTAGCTAGCCGGCATCCAATTACTCCCCAAACTCTGTGATCACATATATAAGGTGTTATCGGTCAATTGATCAGTGTTTATATGTGGGAAGAAACCAGAGCACCCGGATAAAACCCTCTTGTGCGAGGGGGAAAAATCTATCTCATACAGATGGAACAGATGGAGATCAGTTCACACTTGCTGTACGACCATCTCCTAGCAAGCAAGATTAAGTCATCCTCGATGCCCACAAGGTAGTTTCACGACATGTGTGTGATCCACCAACCCTTGCCTCCACAGTACAGGATTATAGGCGTGCGCCACCTTCGCCCAGAAAGCGGGGTCGAACACATGGGCACCAACGGGTGTCATTTTTAGCTCCATTGTTTTTATTTTTGGACTTGAAACGTTGCTCTTGGCCAAGTGGCATTACCTGACTGCGCTGGACCAGCTTGAGGAAGGGCCAGCTGTCAATGTGTCGGATCAGTTCTATCACCAGCTGCTCGCACGCTGTTAGCTCGTGCGTTCCCGAGTGCCGGCTTGAGCTTCGTCGGCTCGTAGATGCCTCACCACTGCCTTCTGCTGATAACACAAGAGCACAATTACACGGTGACGTGAAGATATACTCACTGGGATGTGTTGACTTCTGTAACACATTTCAATTGCAAGCTGTGGTAGTTCTATTTACGTATAATACATCAAAGTCTGAACAATAATTGTCATTTTTTATCATAAGAACTCTACACATGTGCAGCCCTTTAGTCAGTACAGTGCTGGATGGCCTCCCCACACCACGTGGGTCATTGGTGTTATTTGACCATACTATTAGCATAATAATAAGTCCGATATATAACATGCACAAAATGTGTGCGAGTCACTAACAAAAGTCAGAGGCCCGTCAGTGTGGATTGGTGAAAGTGGGGAGCATAAACATGCCAGCATAGCACAGTATAACAAAGGATGTCGCTGGACTACCCTCTGCTGTCCACAACATAGCTCTGCAGCAACACACAACATCCGATATGCATAGTGGTCGACCATTCAAGTGTTATCCGGGCTCAGCCCTGCTTAGCTTCAGGAGATGTGACAAGATAAGATGGATTCCATGTGTGTTGGTCATAGACAAAACCCTGCAAGGGTCGCGGGAATTATGTTTAACAGTGAATGGTCTACCCTACCGGCGTCGCTGATACGTTTGCTTGCTCGGCGTCCAGTTTCAGATGTCCCTGGGGAGGTCTCTGAGCCACCTATGCGAACATTGGGGGGCCGCCCTCGGCTGCGTGTTGGTCCAGACACTTCCGCAGGTGAAGCTCCATTGCTGGCTGACCCGTTAGAGCGTGGTCGTGACGATGAACCTGGGCTTTTTTTGCGACCCTCCGACGCGGCCTTCTGCTTAGCTCCACCCTTATCCAACGAGGCTAGGCTCTTCCCCGAGCCTGGGCTCTGCTTAGGAGTGCTTTTACCCGAACCTGGCAATGACTTTGGATCATTCTTGCTTGCAGAAGAGGATTGCTTGGGTCCGTTTGGTCGAGTACGTGAAGAAGCATCATTGGGAGTTTGTCTGGATTCCTGTTCCAAGTAGTTTTTACCCTGGCTGGCCACTTTACCTCGAAGTTTTACAGGCAATTTAACTCGCCCTCTCTGTGAAGACCTGTGAGACAGACCAAGTAAACATGCATAATTTTTAATACATAGCTTAACAGAACAACACTTGATCAAATTGATTTTATATACAAAATTTGTGAGAATGCATATTAAATAAAATATACCAATAAACATTGACAGATGAGCTAAAATATGTGCGAAGATGGAGGCTTTGTAATGTTCAAAGGTGAAATCAACCTATCATGGAGATCATACATTTCTACACTTGACTTACCACAAGTAAGTAATTCACAGATCATTCATCAGTTGCTTTAAATAGGGAGAAATTCATCAAGATAATTTACATCAGGGTAAAATTAGCGTAATAGTTACCTCGCCTCTTCCTCCAATTCTTCTTCCTCATCATCCACCTCGTCCTCTGAAGTATCATCCGGTTCATCTTCTTCTTGGCTCTCATCAGATTCGTCACTGTTACCATTATTCTCTTTTTCCTCCTCTTCCTCCTCCTCCTCTTCTTCCCCCTCCTCCTCTTCCTCCTCCTCTTCCTCCTCATCTTCCTCCTCATCTTCACTCTCCACATATGATGATCGTTTTCGTTCTGCTGGCCGATGCTTCCTGTTCTTGGGCCGGCAGTTCGGGCAGAACCAGTCTCCCTGTGGAATTGTCTGAAAGTAACAGCGACACACAACCAATGATAAAATAACTTTCATGACCCACACAGCATGGGGAGGGCTCTAAGCCAGCAGAGAATTGAAAAAAAGTGCTGTACGTGTACAATGGCTGCTAAGCCTGAATAACTCTCATTTCTTTAATATAGCACATAAAACATAAGGGCATAACATTAACTATTTATATACTGAGCATACTAACAGCATTCATTTCCAAGGAAGAAACGATTGGCACCTACTTGTCATGGAAACTGCTGCTCGCGCAGCCCTTCCCCCCGCCCACTCACTCTGGAGTATTCCCATTCCCATCTCTGCCCCAGCCCCTCTCTCTCCCCGTCTCTCGCGCAGCCCTTCCCCCCGCCCACTCACTCTGGAGTATTCCCATTCCCATCTCTGCCCCTCTCTCTCCCCCTGTCTCTCGCGCAGCCCCTTCCCCCCGCCCACTCACTCTGGAGTATTCCCATTCCCATCTCTGCCCCAGCCCCTCTCTCTCCCCCTGTCTCTCGCGCAGCCCTTCCCCCCGCCCACTCACTCTGGAGTATTCCCATTCCCATCTCTGCCCCAGCCCCTCTCTCTCCCCCTGTCTCTCGCGCAGCCCTTCCCCCCGCCCACTCACTCTGGAGTATTCCCATTCCCATCTCTGCCCCAGCCCCTCTCTCTCCCCCTGTCTCTCGCGCAGCCCTTTCCCCCCGCCCACTCACTCTGGAGTATTCCCATTCCCATCTCTGCCCCAGCCCCTCTCTCTCCCCCTGTCTCTCGCGCAGCCCCTTCCCCCCCCCCACTCACACTGGAGTATTCCCATTCCCATCTCTGCCCCAGCCCCTCTCTCTCCCCCTGTCTCTCGCGCAGCCCTTCCCCCCGCCCACTCACTCTGGAGTATTCCCATTCCCATCTCTGCCCCACCCCCTCTCTCTCCCCCTGTCTCTCGCGCAGCCCTTCCCCCCGCCCACTCACTCTGGAGTATTCCCATTCCCATCTCTGCCCCAGCCCCTCTCTCTCCCCCTGTCTCTCGCGCAGCCCCTTCCCCCCGCCCACTCACTCTGGAGTATTCCCATTCCCATCTCTGCCCCAGCCCCTCTCTCTCCCCCTGTCTCTCGCGCAGCCCTTCCCCCCGCCCACTCACTCTGGAGTATTCCCATTCCCATCTCTGCCCCAGCCCCTCTCTCTCCCCCTGTCTCTCGAGCAGCCCTTTCCCCCCGCCCACTCACTCTGGAGTATTCCCATTCCCATCTCTGCCCCAGCCCCTCTCTCTCCCCCTGTCTCTCGCGCAGCCCTTCCCCCCGCCCACTCACTCTGGAGTATTCCCATTCCCATCTCTGCCCCAGCCCCTCTCTCTCCCCCTGTCTCTCGCGCAGCCCTTCCCCCCGCCCACTCACTCTGGAGTTTTCCCATTCCCATCTCTGCCCCAGCCCCTCTCTCTCCCCCTGTCTCTCGCGCAGCCCCTTTCCCCCCACCCACTCACTCTGGAGTATTCCCATTCCCATCTCTGCCCCAGCCCCTCTCTCTCCCCGTCTCTCGCGCAGCCCTTCCCCCCGCCCACTCACTCTGGAGTATTCCCATTCCCATCTCTGCCCCTCTCTCTCCCCCTGTCTCTCGCGCAGCCCCTTCCCCCCGCCCACTCACTCTGGAGTATTCCCATTCCCATCTCTGCCCCAGCCCCTCTCTCTCCCCCTGTCTCTCGCGCAGCCCTTCCCCCCGCCCACTCACTCTGGAGTATTCCCATTCCCATCTCTGCCCCAGCCCCTCTCTCTCCCCCTGTCTCTCGCGCAGCCCCTTTCCCCCCACCCACTCACTCTGGAGCCCTTATAAGCAGCTGCATTTGGAAGCTTGCCCCCTCTTTTCTCTCCACCTGATGAAGGCCGCTTGTGTCGCGATCGAAACATCGTGGGTCTTTTGCTGTTCATTTTGATTTTTGTTTTCGATCTACGTGACTTTACCGAAAAAACCAAGAATATGCAAACTGCATTGACCTTTAAACCAAACTATGTAAATAAAGAAGGATTCCAAGACAGCTCTGTACGAACGCCGTACCTTGACCGGTGGCCGTAGACAGTAAGTGTGGTGCCCTCTGTCACAGCCGTCACACAGGAGCATGCACTCTGCGTCTCTCTTGCGCCGGCAGATGCGGCAGCGCGTGTTGAGCACGGAGCGCGCCCACACCACGCTGCCCTCCAGCGTGGCGAGGTGCACAAACACCTGAGACATGCTGGTGCACACCATCAGCGACTCCTCCCAGCGCTCCAACAGCGTCCGATTTGCCCGAATTCCGCCACCTTCGCTGCTCTCCACTGCTGCACATAGCAAAAGGCAGATCCTTGGTTATGCATACCTTCACATGGAGGGGTGGAAAAGCTATGGGGCCCGTGACTTAATTTTATATGGCCCGTGGACACTTGAGGCCTAGCAATTTAGCATGGCCCGCAAAAAGCGTTTGAACATCACCGCAGGCATCTCAGCCCCACTAATCGTGTACGAGAGAAAATATTTAGACCTGGCATTATTGTGTTTATATTAGCAAGCTCAGCCACTTGTGTCACTGCAAGGGCCAATTGCAGCCACAGAAGTGATCAAGGTGACTTTATGTGTGGTTGCCTGCCCAAGGCATTTGAAAGTCCAATTTGGCCGACAAAGACAAAAATTCCATTCTCCTACTTTTAAAGAATAAAAACTAATGTAGTCCAAAAAGTAAAATAAAGCCATAATTTCGTGCTCTAACTGTCTTTATCATTGCAAATTCTGTTTCATTACAAGTATTTCTTCTTCTCATTGCTTTTTATCGCGTCTGATCTTCCATGTTTCTTGGCTTCCTCTACATCTACTGTTTAAGGACCAACACCCTTCACACGCATGTGCATTGATAACATCTGGAGTGACTCATATGCTAATTCTACACACGTCCATGTGTGTGTGTGTGTTTGTACGCATGTCAAACGTCGTACCAAGAGGCTCCTTAAGGAAGCGGCGGCCCAAGCCCTGCTCGATCTGCAGCAAGGCCATGGCCAGGTGACGAACTGGGAGGTTGGTTGCTTGGGGGGTCCCGGTACCCAAACTCCCCCCACTTCGCCCCTCCAACTTGACATCCGAAAGTCTGCAAGGCAAACACTTGATTGTAAATTACATTGCACCATCGCAGATGCATGTTTAAAAACGCGCACATACAAAATACAGCTACCTGTCCTTAGCGGAGGGCTTTTCTGGAGGTGTGCCTGTTTCCATGGCCTGTGCTGGGCCATCCTGCTCCGACTTGAGCTGTCCACTTTCCCGGAGCTTGCTGATCTTGAGGTTGCGCTCTCCCTGAGGTCCCCACACCAGCTCGTCACACATGGGGTCGTAGTGGCTGTTTTGCAAGGCTGTACGCCAGGCAAGCCGGTCTGCCACCTGCAGGCAGAATAGTGGAATGTTTTGGAAGAAGTAACGTGGAACATCACGAGCATGTACTGAAAAAGCTCCAACTTCAGCTTCTGATTGAAGCAAAAGAAGCCCCCGAATTGTTTTGGCAAGCTGTGTGTTGTTAAGTAATATGACAGTTTATTTCATACGCATAATCTTTAATGAAAATCTCATTGGGGTTCATGGTTAATCTCCCCAAGCTCTGAACTGGATATCGAAACATAGCGTTATATTGTAAAATGTTGTTGCTTCTCCAGAGGACATCATCACTGTCAAAACAAGGCACCTGAATGCCTCCAAGAGTTCCTTGCCAGATGCGGTCCTCCATGTCCAAAAGGAGGTCCTTCAAGCGTCCTTCCAGCTGCACTTCAGCGCTTGAAGGTGGCCCCTGACTGGACACTTTATCATCATCATTCTCCACAGGCTCTCGTTCTAGGTCGAACAATTAAAAGGCAAAATTAAATCATTATTAGTTAAGTTTGATGTTTCAAGTGAAATGGATGTAGCAGTGTGTTACCTCTCTGAAAACTACAGGATAAGACACCTGGTCATAGTTTCCAAGTTATTCTGACATTATTATCTTGAATGCAGGATTCTCACAGTAAGCTCACAACAATCCCCCTCTCTGGTGAGATGAAATGTGATGCAGGGCACTCTTGCGTTGCCGAGGCATTTGAACACCCTATAAATGCACACCTTTATCCTTTACTTAGATATTGTACGTGTACACGCACAACCCTTCTCCTCAATTCACAGATGAATGAGGACCTTCCCCACATGCGCATCGTGAGGGTAATCGACTGTATTTCCCATGCTGGTCAGTGCAGGTTAACGAATGTAGGGAACATAGGTATTGGGAGCATATAGTGAACAAAGCGATTTTGCTGCATTTCCGTTTGCTGGTCACAACATAACACATCCCTGTAGCTGCCTGTGACAACTTGGTATGTGTGGTGGCCGCCTATCCAAGCACTATCCTGGATCAACCCCCGCTTGGCTACCGAGATCTGACGAGATCCAGCACATTGCGGGTGATTTGACAAGAGGCAGTCAGATACAATGACTTGCATGCTACTTCCATACCTGAGAGGTGAATGAGCTCAGTCTGTGCCAGCTGCAGGCTCTGGACGATCCGCTCCCGCTCCAGGATCAGGGCCTCACGGAGACTGCTCTCCCGTAACCCACGCAAGTTCAGGCTCTCCAAGAGCTCATCTAGTTGCTCAGGGCGATGGAAATAAAACCATCGGTTTGGGCGTTTCACCTCACAGCCCTCCTCAATCCTCATGTCACCACTTCCAGCAAGCTGTCCAGGCAGGGCAACACAGAAGATATCGGTGAACACCAAAGTCACATGCTTTTAATAATTCCTCTGGATTGGAATTAAATTTTACTTTAATACTCAATAAAATATGACACAATGCACTCTTAATATTAGAGGTGTAACAACGGATCAGTTACTCAATTCTGAAGGTCACAATAATCCAGTATGTGTACATGTACCATATCTGAATTTTGGTATAAAACTATGTGGTCTAACCCAAAACCAAATATTGACCATTGTAACGCCAACAAAAACCTTAGTTTTAAGTTAAGCTCACAATACATGCAGTGAACTGTGTGGGAAAGAATTAAAATTTTCCGATTTATGTTGTATGCTTTACGACTGACACTTGCAGCCACAAGTGGACGTTGCAATTCAACACAATGGTAAATAATCCATTCTTGAAACAAAAGTATGGCCCTGAAACATCACCATCCATACTTACCAGATCATTAAACTTATACTTCATAACTTCACACCATTTTATTTGTTTTGTTTCAAAATTCAATCTTATCACCATCACATCATCACTGCACACACGAGAAGCAGTTGCTTTACATACCAGAGGTTCCAACTTGTGTGGGCTTGCCTTGCTGCCAGCCTCCATGCTCGTGGCCTCGTCTGGTGCCCCAGGATCTCCCCTTACAGAGGGTGGATGCAGCATGTCCTCTGTTAGCCCATGGTAGTCCTCCTCCACAAAGAGCCCCGGTATGGTGTTAAAAAGCCAGTAGCGACGGTAAAATCGGTCGCGCCCCAGCGGCGCCACATTCGTACGAGCCACTGCAGAGAGGATTCTTTCAACAAGCTCCTTCTCGCGAAGCGCCTGGATGTCCGCTTCCGAGATCTCTGCGCTGTTGTCATCTTTTCCCGACTTCTTTCCCTGCTTGCCTGCCAATGCGCCACAAGAATCGCAGCACTCGGCAATTATTAAATGCTTTGAGTAAACACCCTCAATCCAAGAGAACCTGCAAGAGGTGAGCATGAAAATGTTGTGCAATCAAAGTTTATTCACAATGCATCAATGTTGAAACCCGTGAGCGTTATCTTACCTTTGCAAAAACGTGACTATTATGAGCAAATATTTGCACGAAAAGAAAAAAACCTTTCACGTGTCACTACTGTTAAATCTGTCATGCCCTTGGAGTGTGCTGTGCTTTATATATTTACGAAAGTATTGCTTTAGAAAAGAAAACTTGTCGTGAAAAAACTGTAGCGTGTACAAGTACATGCCTTTTGTAATCCCACAGCTGGATGAAAGTCTCTCCACTCCGTGTTTGATCAGTGCTGGTTGGTGAAGGTGGGGAGCATAATACAGTACAACAGCGTATTTTGCTGCACTGCCCTTTGCTGCTCACAACCTATCAACGGAGCAGCCTATAAGTAGTGTGTAGTCAGACAAAACATTATCTAAATACACACGTTAAACACATGATTGTAACTGTTAAGAACAGTTAAGTCAGAATGGGCAGGACATGTTTCTCGGAGGGGCAGTGGTCGAGCATAACGAAGGAGTGGCAGCCAAGAGTGTGAATGTGCCCGAGAGGACGTCCACGGTGGAGACGGTGCTAGTTGGGTCCTTACGTCACATGACTGTAAGAGATGGCAATGGTTTGGTGAGACCTCCATCCATTTGTGATATAAATCATAGCTGATGATTATGATAATCTACGTAATAAGCTGAAGAATGTGCCCCCTTTACCTGACTTATTACGCTCGCTGTTCTTGGGCCGACCTCTGCGTGGCTTGCTGGAACCTGCCGCTTGCTCGTCCTGCGCTGAGCCCCTGGCCGCACCATCAAGCCCCTCCGTGCTCGTGTCCATTCCAGAGTCGTCACTACGCAGTCATAACAGCGCTTCTTCTATCAACAACCGACTGTGCATAAATATCACCTTCAAACTTAATAAAAATATACGAAGCCTGTCAAAAGGAGAGGCAGTTACAAGGTTGAGAGGGTTGACAAATGCTGATGGAAGAGCCAATGGGGGGCAAATTGGCCAACAAAACTGTTACCCATTCCTGATGAAAGAAAAAAAACTGTCCGTCAAAATAATATTTAAAAATTTTCCACAATATTTCTACCCACACGTGATTTTTGTAGGTTTTTTTTAAAAAATCTATTATCAGCTGCTAAAAATGCACAAATTCACATACCCATCGACGCCATTTTTGAGCGGTTCCTCCACAGGATTGCCCTGGATGAGCTTGCGTTCCTGCTCTTTAATTTTCTCCTCCTTGACCCTTCTGAGCCTATTTGACCGTCCAGCAACACAGGGAAAGTGTTAGGTGTCACGTCAAGATATAAACGTCATTCTAGGCAGACAATTAAACATGTAAACAAAAGTACAAGTTTGCCAAATAACAATTGACAATATGTTTACAAGTCAGAATGTTAGGTTAAGGAATGTTAAAGCAAAGTAAACGAAGTTAAAAAGTGCAGGACACAATGAGAACAATTAACTAGAGATCGACAAAATAAACCGCAGTTTGGATACCGAGAGAAGGGGGGGGGGATAAAAAAGCAGAGGACGATGAAGGAAGAGTTGGAGAGACAAAATCGAAGCATTTTGGGGACACTACTGTACTGGTACAACCTTGGAAAGAAAAGCGTGGAAGAGAAAGTGGGAGGCCTTTAGCCCAGCAGTCAGAAGTACAGGCGGACGACGACAACAACAACAACAACATGGCAGCCACACAATGAGTCTCCCCCTCACCTAGCGGCAGCCTCTTCGCGCTCACGTCGCAGCTTGGCATTTTTGAGTTCGCGGAAGTCCTGCCGCGCCTGCTTGAGCACATCGAAGTTGTCGTCGATGTAGTCGCGCGTCGTCACCAGTGTCAGCAGCTCCACACTCAATGCTTTCACAATCATCAACTTCTCCGCTAAACACACAAGACGCCAGCAAACAAACGCAACGAGAAGTTGCAATTACACAAGCCATTATTTCGGGTCATTTATCATGTAAAAAAGGGCACAATGACTTTTTTGGATATGCACGACACACAGATAATACTAAAAAAAATAATGACACTGAAAGTGAGGGACGTTCAATCGCTGCTCAGTGTCTATGTTGGCAGAGCTTGTGCTTACCTGGGGTGAGATCGTACGCCGAGACATTTGCCAGCCGCTTGAGGAGGCCGGGCTGGCTGAGCCGTAACTCCACACAGGGCCCATCCATGGTGTCAAAGCCACCACGCTGCTGATATCGGTACTTGGAGTTGGCAGGCATTACATCAGAGCCGGCCATGAGCACATGCAGGCGCAGGATTTCTGAGACCGAGCAGCTGTCCATGTCCAGTTTGCGGAGGGAACGACCTACACAAAGTGCACACACCAGGGACATGTAACACACCCACTTTGCCATCTCGAAAGGGTTTCAGAGTCATCTTGCCTGAAGAAAACGTTTCCTGTTATGCTGCAGATAATATATATCATAAGTAGCACAAATTCACTCATGGTGTTTACGTGTTTTACAATCCCATCGCAGGTCAGGATTTTCTACCATACCCTGGTGCAGCTGTGGCCAAGCTGCAGCCATCGCAGCCACAGCGCCGATGGCAGCCTTGGTGTTGTCCTGCTCCTCTTCAAGGGCCTCAGACAGCCCAGTCACTGCAGCCCATAGATGAGACAATCATCAGCTTCACTGCTTGCATTTTGTAACCATTTTGGGCATTTTATAAACAGAACCATGAACATGCTTTTGTTTTTAACGTGAATTTTACATTATGTAGTGAAGCCAATCGCAAAGAAGCAAAACTTCACTTGGTAAAGATACCTGTTGTAAGTTTTAAATTAAGACCCATTCCACTTAAATGCTATAAATTAACTATACAGACTTACACAGATGCTCTTTATTTAAAAGTGTCTTTTTATTGGGAAAAATTGGTTTAAATATGTATAGCCAATGTAAACTAATTCGAAAACTTTTAAGATAAACGATATTAAATTGTACATTTATTACGAAGACATATATATTCTTGGTTATTTCGGTAAAGTCACGTTGAAGGGAAACAATAAAATATATATAAAACAATAAAATTCTCACGACGTTTCGACTGCAACACAAGCAGTCATCATCAGGTGTGAAAACCAACGGCAAGAACATTTGAAATGTTCATTTGAAATGTTCTTGCCGTTCTTGCCGTTGGTTTTCACACCTGATGATGACTGCTTGTGTTGCAGTCGAAACGTCGTGAGAATTGTATTGTTAAATATATATTTTATTATTTTATTGTTTCCCTTCAACGTGACTTTACCGAAAGAACCAAGAATATGAATCACTGCAATCACGAAAGCTTTAAATCAGAAGTGATATATGTTTAACTTCATCATCAGCCAGTAAATACTAAGTATGCCTGGTAATACACAACTAATACCCTCAAGCAGCTTGCTGGAAATCGACTCAAATGGAGCTGAACTCTATTTTGCTGGTGTGATAAATTCATCATACTTTTTGCATCAGCATCCGTAGGTTGTTCCCGCACGCCGTCTTCCTCCTCAGCAGTCATTGTTTGGAAGATGGCAGAGAGGAAGAAGAAGAGTAACTCGCAGAGCGGGCCCTCGGGGTCATGGCCCACCATGGCCTCCTCCACCATGTCTACAACCACATCACAACACACCTTCAAATGTCCGCTCACACAAATATACCAATACAGTAAAACATAGGATTGCGAGTAACTTGGTCTATGAGTGTTTTGCAAGACGGGCAAAATGTTTAAATATTAATTTGATAAACGAGCGAGGTCTTGCAATACGAGTAGTACGTATACGCTTTGTACTGCCGAGCGTCACGTGATCACAACTGATATACGAGTGCTTTGATATACGAGTGCTTTGGATTACAAACACGTTTCCGGAACGAATTATGCTCGCAATCCAAGTTATTACTGTATCGTAAATACCAAAGAATACTACAATTTTTATTATTATTTATACCGAACCTCCAATTCAGAAAATCTTGAGGTGCCAGAACAAAGGGTATTTAAGATAACAAAAGAAGCACATTGTAAGAAAAGGCTGTGGACTAAATAACGTGGAAAAACAAGGCAGCATCTACATTCTCACAGACACTCACGATTGTATAAACGTACATCACGGCTGATAACAAAAATGGCTCAGAACTGCACGATTAGAATTTTTTTTGTTCACAAGCCTCATTTTAATGATGAATGGTTTAACAAACTATTATCACCGCGAGTGTTTGAAAAAAAATTACCGAGCGTGATGCCATTCGGAAATTCATCCTTGAGGTCAAAGAAATCCCCAAATGCATGTAGGAACTCTAGCAGCATGAGGGCGTCGCCAAACAGCTCCGGAGGCAATCGTGTCCGCACTGCAAGGGGCTCAGGCAGAGCCTGAGAACGCAGAGGGCAAGGGAGTTCAGGGGAGATGCACACCCACATCATGAGCATATTTACCCAATATTGACATTGTGTGTGAATAAGGGCATTGGCAAAATCATCAGAAAATTCCAAACGAATTCTCGTACTCACCTTCAAGTCTTCACATTCCATGTCATCTCGCAGTCGATTCCACTCCTTGATGTACTCGGCATATTTACGCTTCTCTTCACGCAATTTTTCACGCTCCTGGCAAACCATGCGAGATGCCAAAAGACTTGTGTAACCAGACATTCCACTTCGACTTTTTTTTATCGAGATTTGCTAAACTGTATTATTACTCACATGGAGATGTGCAGGAGTTATTTGCGTTAGTAATTTTCCAATAAGCTTCCTATTCTTCCATGTGGTTATTATTTTACTATGATATTCCTTTTACTGGCAAAAGGTCTGCTTAATAAAAATCTGTTCAAGACACCATTCAATTTTAATTATGACAATGGCACAAATATATATGACTAAAATCTGCAGAACCACATTTTACAGAGGGTAATTGTTTGAGTTAGTCATTAAAAAACAGAGTATGTATAAACCAGGGCAATTTATGAAGGTCAATCAGAATCAACATTCTTAAATAAAGCAGAAAACAATAATAGTTTATTTGGAATATTTTATTTGAAAATAAAAAGCCAAATGCCACTGTTTAAGAATAAAGTTATAAAGTGGTACCTAGTACTCACGATGACAGATCATCAACAAAGACCTGACAAAGAAAATTAAGCAAAAACTGAAAACTATACAAATATCAAGGAGTGATGTGTACATACAAATAAAAATAGAAACAGAAAAAGGAACAGGTGAATTAGGGAACCCAAATCAGAGACATTGTTTCCTGTAAGGATAAGCAGGTGGGGCCTTGCACTGAACACGTCACTAAAATGGATGATGGCTAATGGTGGATGATTGTAACAAAATGGCAGTCAAAGGACAGAAAGCAGCTTATAAAATTGACGAGTACAGAGATGACATCAGTTCATGTGTCATCAATGAACTGTGAAAAATGCAGATGGTGTGGAGAGGCCTTCGAACAATAAATGGCTGATTTTTATAAAGGGCGAAGAAAAACACAATATTAGAACACAAAGTAATTTATAGTGGGGGATTGAATTCGAAACCTTTTCTTTTATTTCCTTGAGCCGCTCTTTCTCCTTGAGTTTTTCCTGCCTTTGCGTCATCCTGGACTCCAGCAGGTTCCTCCGGAGCTGCTGCTCCCGGGCATAAGCGCTCTCCTCATTCTGCCGGAGACCCGGAGCTTTGTTTTCTTTGGCATGGGCGGCTGCTGCACAACAGCAGACATTACATAATCCACAATTAACTTTCTATCAAATGCGTTTATGGCCATGTCATTACACTTCCAGATCTTGAGTGTTAACTGATATTTCTCCCAAGACAGTATTTGGAATGGAATGATGTGGAAATGTATCTATGACAATCAATTGGGACCCAAACAATACTGTAGGTGCATCGCTTGCCCAATAAAACATTTTCTGAGTGACTTGTATGAAAATATTTTGGTGATAAGAAATGTTTTATTCATGCCCACAACGATACAGTTCAGATAGTCAAAATAAGTGTACAATATAGAAATAAAAATACTGTACAATTGACAAAACCAGTGCTCGGACCAATTACAAAAACTAAGTATAGATGGGAGTCTACAGAAAGATAGCACAAAAGAGGGGACAACGTGGTAAAGAAATCATGACACATACATATAGTACAGGAGAACCTTGAATATCGCAGGTTTGTTTGCAGTTTTGACCTATCGCGGGCAACCTCTCAGTATACCAATTTTGCTATTGCGGGGATTAGTTTTGGCCTTTCGCAGATACACTGGACACGGAAGCTGATACCGTGGTGTGGGGCGGGCAAGGAACGCAAGGCAAGTCAGTCCACACCTCGACCTTTGCCGTATACGCATCTCGCGGACAAACAAAAAGACAAAGATCTCCCATGTAGCCTTAACAGACTTGGTGAAAGTGCTGTTAGCGAGCACCTATGAAGGTCGGCACAGCACGAGGGGGTGGGTTGCCAGCACCACACCTGGCTGCCTTTGTCTCCAGGGTGGCAATGTTTACACATCGCATCAGGTACTCATTTGAGGCCGAGTTAACGTAAGGGAAAGCCCATAACCAGTTAAGATTGTCATCACTAGTGTTGGTTGTGATTGGGAATCGAACTCGGGTAGCCGGGCTCGTGGCAGAGCGCAAACCGTCGCGGACAAACACACGCGCTTTAGATCATCGGTAAGTACAGTATTTATTCAGCATTTAAACTATTTATTGTCTAGGAATGTTTTTTTGTATGGGGTTTTTACGTGATATTTAGGGGTCTTCTGTACAATAAATCCCCATTTAACACTCGTCCACACAGCACATTTTCGCTTAAACGCTGTTTTTGTTATATAGAACGCTTTTCGCTTAACGTGTACCATGCCCGCTTTAACACGAGTCTAGCGCATGACAGACGACTTTTCTGACTGGCGTGGGTCTAGGCAGCATTGATCGGTTATGCTATGTAGAACTTCTTTCACACCATACTTAGTCAACCGTGCTCATCAGAGATGCGGATGCAAAGAGCTGGTACTGTACTAATGCGTGCTGTGATACACGGCGGGTCTTTCTCTTCCTCAGTCTTTGCTCCAGCATCTTTGTGTGCATTGTGTCATCTGACTTCCATATCTTTTTCACTCCCCATATCTCTCTCACGCACTTTATATTTAAATAAAGGACTGTCACACATAGCATATGTACGGCACTGTCAAAAAATTACAGGCTGGAACGGCACCCCCACCTTTACCATTATTCCCGGTGGGAAAATTACTCCCGTTTAACGAGGATTGGCTTTACACAGCAAGGACTTGCTGTATACAAAAGACAAAAATAGTACAGCACACCCTTAATGCGTTCCTGGAGAACGGCATGAATATAAAATCTACGACTTTTATTACTCAAAGCTTATGAGGAAAATAGGGTGGGGGGGAATAAGCATATATTATAATTTATATTTAAACATAACCGTATAAATTGTATGCAAATACAGCAAAAGCTCTTGTTATCCGGGGAACATGGGGAAAGGAGGGTGCCGGTTAATAAAATATGCCCGGTGATCTGAGTTATACTTTTGGCTCACCACATTTTCAAAGTACATACAACTTTTCAAGAAAGAAACGAGGTCTACATTTTAACTATGATATACCTAATATAATCACCCAGGAATGTCCTTAACGCTCGTGACGTCACTCCACATCGACCATCCCCCCCCTCATTAATATTCATAAGCAGGTGACGTCTTCCAAATGTACACCCCCCCTCATTCATAATCATGAGCTGGTGACGTCACTCAATATTGAGTACTCCCCCCCACTAATAATCATGAGCAAGTGACGTCCCTCCACATCGAACAGCCCCCCTCATTACTAATGAGCGGGTGATGGCACTCCGCATGGAGAACCCCCCCCTCATTAATAATAATTAGCGGGTGACGTCACTCCACATGGGGGGGGCGAGGCGCCTCCTCCCCCCTCCTCAGCGCCAACTTATAACCTTCACTACAAAGGCAGAACCCTCACGTCACGCGATCTCCATAACGCTATTGAGACATCAGAGTAAAAAGGACGTCGTGATGAACAAGGGATTATAACCTTAAAATGAAATAGGTCTCTGTCACCACACCCTTACAAATTGCACACGCATTAATGCAATGAATATCACGTCGCGGTCTGCTTTTCGCTTGCAAGTTTCAGATATACTGCAATACACCCGTCCTTGGACGAGCAAAAGGCTCGTAATAAATAATATACAATTTGACAAAGGTCCTCACCAGTCAATTGTATATCATTCTACATTAATTGCAGAAACGCAGTAGGGCCATTTAAACTACTGTATACAGTGGCACAGAATTCTGCTAGCGCCACCACTCGTTAGCGTCCTGAAGCTCCCATAAACAACAGATCTATGAAAAGTGCACGGCAAGATGCCAGGTGGCTGTCGGAATTTTTCCGGACACGTGAAGGAAAATTTGTATCACTGTCTATGACAAATGTTAGTTAATAGAGCATTCCGGATGGTAAAGTGCCAGATAACAGAGCTTTTGCTGTATTAAAGAATACATTGTATAGTATTTGTGTTATTAAACTTACCTTTCACAATGAACATATCAATGAATAAATAAATTAACCTTTTACGGTATTATTTGAACTCACCTTTAATAGCACTTAATTTTCGTTTAGGGGTCATGGTTTGTGGTAAGTGCGTAGTTCCAAAAAATGTAGGTAATAGACTCGCGTGTAAAACAGTGCGACAAAGGCAGACTGAGAGGCAGAGCACCACGTGGGCAACGTTCGCACACTCACCATGCACGCCGTTGCCATGTGTCAATACAGTACTTGTCGGATAGTAGTGTGCTAGGGCCGCGGATATTTAAAACACTACCCCGCAAATTTTAATAGCACTACGATAAATCTGTTGCGATTACGCAATGCCGCATTTGTAAAACCCGCGAATAATCAGGGTTTACTGTGCAGACAAAACACAAAATACAGTATAAAGAGTGCTAAGACAGGACAAAATATGAGGCATTAAAAGACAGTACAAACGCCGTGATTAATGTACAAAAGACAGTACGAAAAAAGCCTAAATTATTACATTCTATTCGAGTAGGCTAAATAAAAAATGAGTTTCATTTGCAGTGATGTCATTTTCTATCTCACCTGCTCTTCTCATTGCTTCTTTCTTCTCTCTCAATTTCTCCATTTCTCGCTCGGCTTTGTTGCTGTGATGCTGGGAACCATCTCTGTCCATGTCACCAGCAGCCTGAGAAACAGTTCGTATTGTATACAATCAGCTACACTAAAATGTAATGTTCATAAACAGTCCATGAAAATCATCAGTAATTATTGTTCTTTGAAGTTTATATGGGTTTTACTGTGTCAGAAGAGTTAAGTGAACTTGCACATTGGCACACATTCATAATTCATCAATGTTAAATAGTAATCTTGAACTTTGCTGTAACCTCTCACCATTGGCACTTGACTCTTAGCACGCACACGGCGTGACACAGAGTTGCTGTTAAACATGGGAGCTCCATCGGGAAACACTGCCCGGAAGTTGAACTCATTCAGCTTGTATTTGGCCACTGTGCTGGCCTGCAAAGGTAATGCATTATGGTTAATATGGTTCCAGCAGCTTCACCAACATACCATTTAAATGTAAGTAAGCATGCAGGTACAATTCATGACCGTAATTTTCAACATTCTAAGATTATTCTAAATTAACCTACAATTGGGAAATTACTTAAATATAATTGAAATAACATACTGTACATACCTTTACTTTAATGACTCCATTTAAAACTTCTGTGTTCTGCTTCAAGAACATTTTAACTTTTTCCCTTGTGAAAAATCCTTTCCGGCGACTAATGGAAACACAAACAATAAACATTATTTTTTTGATTTAAAGCTTTTGTGACTGCAGGGATTCATATTCTTGGTTCTTTCGGTAAAGTCACGTTCTATATTTTTTATTATTTTATTGTTTCTCTTCGACGTGACTTTACCGAAAGAACCAAGAATAATAAACATTATTAGGTACAAACTCCAAGTAAAAAAAAGTTTAGTTTTACTACTATAAAAAAACAGTACGTAAAATATGTACACTTACCCAATTACACTAGCCTCAATAATAAATGGCTGCCTTGATTCCATCTTGAGCAACTTTACTTTGTATCGATATAGCGCAGGGTTTCGGACTCTGTGGGTTATTTTGGGAAGAGCAAAAAAATAAGCAAGTCAAAAAACTTAAATGACAACTGCAACGCCACGGATGCATGAGCAATGTGACTCACATGAGTAATTTGAATGAGAAATATCTTTAATTTTATTTGTTATAAATATGGTCCAGAAAAGTAATTCTTACAGGCCTGATCCACTGTCATCTTTATCTTCTTCTCCATCACTGTCGCTGATCACAATCACGTCAGCCTTTGCAGCATGCCCATTGGCCCTGCCGTTTTCCATTGGAGGCGATACCACTGCCATCACGCAGCAACTTTGTCTGTTAGGTTCACACGAACGCACAAATGTTGAAATCAACACTCTGTAAACGCATATACAAGCCAAACTGTATCGTCTCTGCTGTGCGAAAGAAGTTCAACATACATACAGTAGAACCAGAGTAATACATACAATAACCATATTCTCCAGATTATAAGATACACTATATCCCCCCTACATTTGAAAGCAAACGTTAAGGGTATGTTTTTTATTATCTAGTAAGGCGTGACCAGATTTGCATAAATGTATTGACATTGGTCATTTGTAGAGCACCTGGCTATATGGAGCATATTATAATCCGGAGAATATGGTAAATAAACTGATGCTTTGGTTCATTAACTTTCCAGAACAATGTTGTCCAGAATAATTTGTTTAAGCACCATGTAAACCAGGGGTGGCAAAGCGTCTAGAACCTAACAGCTTACTTACCTACATTTTCACGTGACCGCGAGCCACCAGACACGCGTGCGGTGGTCACATAGGGTCCGGTTAGTGCTCACTGGTTGGCTGTGAGGAAATATATCTGCAAGAACACCTCGGGAGCACTCATGTCTGGATCCACTGCCGAGGGTGAGTGCCCTGGGTCGCTCTCACTTCCACAGACTTTTCCTCTTTTAAATAAAGTTCTTTGGACAAGTTACAAATTTGTTGCGTCTCTATCGTGCCGCGCTTTAACTTCCCGGGAGGCACATTCGGCTCACGAGCCGCGGTTTGACCACCCGCGGTGCAAATTCTCGCACAGCATACCTTGCACCGCTGGCATGGACCACCTCCACTTGCTCGCCGATTAAAAAGCGGTCTTTGAAGAAGGCGTACACATCCTCGCACAGATCCTGGAAGCGTGTGCGGGTTGTGCAAGCGGCCAGGTAGAGCAGCGGCGAAAGCAGCACTGGTGGCAGCTTCTGGAGAGAGACACGAGCTCTTTCCTCTGAATCGAGAGCCTCCTGGTAGGTGAAGCCAGACTTGCCCGTCACCGCACAGCTCCACACCAGGCTATTGCACAGGATGGTGCGCTCAAAAAACTCACTGAGAGCGAGAGAGAGAGAGCGATAAGATAATGGGGAGAAAAGTATAATTCATTAGCTAGTCAGTGTTGAAGCACTTACAGGCGCGTTGGCATGGATAAACAATAAACACTGGGGCTTTATATCAGTTGGAGCTGTCTGGGGGCTGAGCTCTGGAAAATATTTTATTGGATTGGGTACCCCCGGAAAATATTCCAAGAAATTAGGCTCTGGTTAAATACCATAACCAGTTGCAAGGATAGGTATGGCATGGAACGCGCATGGTAACGTTTTCAAGCATTTCAGTTATGTAACATTGGCTAACATAAAAAAGGTATGTAAGTACTTAATATCCATATTACTTCCAAAGCGGACATTCTTTTTCAGTGCACAATGGCTCATTATTAGGCCTCGAGTTTCGCACTAAGTCGCACACCGAGTTTAATAGGGGGGGGGGGCGCACATGTGGAACACTTGATGAACTGCGGACACCAGATATCGCCCAAAGTCAATGTGGCTTGGCTGTGGAGGCCACAACCCCTGCTGACACACACGTGTCGCTCTCGTTGGCGATATGAGAGTCCAGCTCCAACTCTAACCCCCTCACCAGGAACCAGAACCTGGGTATGGTTGCCACCTGTCCGGCTTTCCCACGATCGTCCTCTTATTGAGCCATCTGTCCTAGGAAATACGTACTATACGTCGTTATGTCAGTTACATGACGTTACCCCCTCGTACTCCCCCATACGTTCCGATTATTTGTACCAAAGGAGGTAGCAATTTTAATCCTGACATCGACCAACCCAACATTTGAAACATCAGGGCGTTCGCCTGGGCAAGGGAGATCTCCAAGGGCTTTGGTATCTGTCCACAGAACCACACGGAGCCATCCCCGATTGCCAACCATGTGCTTGGCCGGTGGCGTGAGTGGCACGGATAATGGGCAGGAGACAGCATCAGGAGCACAAGGAGTGTGGCTGGTTTTGTTTGTGCCGCGGTCTGCGTGGGGAGCCATGAAAGATGGCGAATCGCGTCTCATGGCAGCGACAATTAATGAGATGAATGACCCGGCCCTCTCCTCCAGCCGAGGCTTTGAGCCCCTTTCACAATGCGCTCCCGACGACAAGCCAGGCCCGAGGAGAGTTTACTGCTCCTCCTTTTCCCCCCGCCCTCTCACGCGCGATACCGAAACAAAAAAAAGTACAATGTGTCCTTCCTGGTCCGCCACGAGGCCTTGGGCTCAATCATCAAAATCGCCATCATCATTATTATTATCGCCGACACCACCGCTACGACCAATACTCATCATCATCATCACAACCATGGCCGCCATCATAATCAATCATCGTGATCACCACCTACCGCCCAACATCATCATCATCATCAGCCGCACCACCACCTCGTCCATCTCGGGACTGGCGAGATGACAGCGCCGACAAAACAACAATAACAAAAAAAACCTCGTCACCAATTCACCCAAACGAGGCCTACAATACAAAACACCTCTTTCTTCCGTGCACTTCTCCCACCCCCCCGCTTTTTACTCGCGGTACTTACTCGTAGTCTCTGAACGCCTCGTTGGTGACCTTGCAGAGGAAGAGTCCCTCGTCGGGGCTCAGGTCAGCCGGCGGGGCCTGCCGCTGGAACGGCTTGCGGTGCAGCAGCGGCATCGCAGAAGCGGGCCCGGCGGTGTTCTTCTCCCCCCCCGAGTCTCTGTCTCTCTCTGTCGCTCTCTCTCGTCGCCCACCGACCCAAGACCGACCGAGCCTCCTCCCCCCGCCCGGGCGTCTCTACCACCCTCCTCTTCTTCCTCCTCCTCCTCGTCAGGCCCTTTCCCTCCGGTCCTCTTCCAAGTCCTTTCCGCCCCTTCTCTCCGTCGCGTGCGAAGCGTTCTCTCTTCCTTTGCACCCCCACCCCAGCCGCACACACACACGAACACCCACACACGAACACCCCAAGCCACCACCGACCAACCTAAAACACAACTTATCTTGCTCTCCCTTCACCTGCCCGCAGCTTCTTTGAGCGCCTCCTCGCTCTAACCCCGCAACCGGCCAAAGATGGAATAAAAAGCAGCAGCCAAGCGGGCGCCGTTCGATGGATTTGGAGGGAAAGGCCTACTACTCGTACTCCTCCTCCTCCTCCTTCTCCGCCTCCTCCTGCTGCTGCTGCTGCAGCTCCGCCTGTTCCTGGTCGGCGGCAGCGGCCTCCCCCCCACCAGCCCCACACCAAGCCCCGGGGAACCACGCGGTGGCGGGGACAATGAACCGCCTCCTCTGGCGATTGCGACGACGGATGGTCACGACGCTTGGTTAGATGTTATCAGATAGATATTAGATGTTATCAGATATTAGATGGAGGAAGAAGAAAAAAATGACGAGCTAATAAATTGTGCTCGACCCGCCAATTCTGTGATGTTGATGGACGCACGCGCGACACTCGCAATCGAATGGTTTGAACGATCTCCGCGGGCCACCCCCGAGGTTTATTCCACACAGCAAACAAAAAAAAACCAGCAAAAGATGAGGCAACTTTTATTGTCTCAACCAAGGGAGTTGCTGTGGAGGTCCAACCGCAGATGCGGGTTGTGTGGCCTCTCCTCTTGCTGGCCGCCTACCCGGGGCCTCGCACTCAAACCCAGTTAGCCTCTAAACCTCTTCTCCCCGTGCCTATCCTGTGTGTGTCGTCGTTGTTGTTGAACAGTGAGAGAGAAAATAAAAACGAGAATACACGGGGGTGAGGTGTAGGGGGGGGCACAGGAGGGAGGAGATGAAGGGGGGGGGGGGGCCCACAGGAGGGAGGAGATGAATGAGGAAGCAGGGCCGGAGTTGAGGGTGGGGGGGGCTCTGAGCCCGCATTGGCCCGGCCCCCTCCTGCCGTGGTCGTGACGTGCAGGGGGCTGGGGGGTGGGGACCGCCACACGTGTAGACAACGTGGTTTACTGTAGACACCACCACACGTGTAGACAACGTGGTTTACTGTAGACACCACCACACGTGTAGACAACGTGGTTTACTGTAGACACCGTGTAGACAACGTGGTTTACTGTAGACACCACCACACGTGTAGACAACGTGGTTTACTGTAGACACCGTGTAGACAACGTGGTTTACTGTAGACACCACCACACGTGTAGACAACGTGGTTTACTGTAGACACCGTGTAGACAACGTGGTTTACTGTAGACACCGTGTAGACAACGTGGTTTACTGTAGACACCGTGTAGACAACGTGGTTTACTGTAGACACCGTGTAGACAACGTGGTTTACTGTAGACACCACCACACGTGTAGACAACATGGTTTACTGTGGACACCGTGTAGACAACGTGGTTTACTGTGGACACCACCACACGTGTAGACAACTTGGTTTACTGTAGACACCACCACACGTGTAGACAACGTGGTTTACTGTAGACACCGTGTAGACAACGTGGTTTACTGTAGACACCACCACACGTGTAGACAACGTGGTTTACTGTGGACACCACCACACGTGTAGACAACGTGGTTTACTGTGGACACCACCACACGTGTAGACAACATGGTTTACTGTGGACACCGTGTAGACAACGTGGTTTACTGTAGACACCGTGTAGACAACGTGGTTTACTGTAGACACCACCACACGTGTAGACAACGTGGTTTACTGTGGACACCACCACACGTGTAGACAACGTGGTTTACTGTAGACACCACCACACGTGTAGACAACATGGTTTACTGTAGACACCGCTACACGTGTAGACAACGTGGTTTACTGTAGACACCGTGTAGACAACGTGGTTTACTGTGGACACCACCACGTGTGTAGACAACGTGGTTTACTGTAGACACCACCACGTGTGTAGACAACGTGGTTTACTGTAGACACCACCACGTGTGTAGACAACGTGGTTTACTGTAGACACCGTGTAGACAACGTGGTTTACTGTGGACACCACCACACGTGTAGACAACGTGGTTTACTGTAGACACCACCACACGTGTAGACAACGTGGTTTACTGTAGACACCACCACACGTGTAGACAACGTGGTTTACTGTAGACACCGTGTAGACAACGTGGTTTACTGTAGACACCACCACACGTGTAGACAACGTGGTTTACTGTAGACACCACCACACGTGTAGACAACGTGGTTTACTGTGGACACCACCACACGTGTAGACAACGTGGTTTACTGTAGACACCACCACGTGTGTAGACAACGTGGTTTACTGTAGACACCGTGTAGACAACGTGGTTTACTGTGGACACCACCACGTGTGTAGACAACGTGGTTTACTGTAGACACCGTGTAGACAACGTGGTTTACTGTAGACACCACCACGTGTGTAGACAACGTGGTTTACTGTAGACACCACCACACGTGTAGACAACGTGGTTTACTGTAGACACCACCACACGTGTAGACAACGTGGTTTACTGTGGACACCACCACACGTGTAGACAACGTGGTTTACTGTAGACACCACCACACGTGTAGACAACGTGGTTTACTGTAGACACCACCACACGTGTAGACAACGTGGTTTACTGTAGACTCCACCACACGTGTAGACAACGTGGTTTACTGTAGACACCACCACACGTGTAGACAACATGGTTTACTGTAGACACCGTGTAGACAACGTGGTTTACTGTAGACACCACCACACGTGTAGACAACGTGGTTTACTGTGGACACCACCACACGTGTAGACAACGTGGTTTACTGTAGACACCACCACACGTGTAGACAACATGGTTTACTGTGGACACCGTGTAGACAACGTGGTTTACTGTGGACACCACCACACGTGTAGACAACGTGGTTTACTGTAGACACCACCACACGTGTAGACAACGTGGTTTACTGTGGACACCACCACACGTGTAGACAACGTGGTTTACTGTGGACACCACCACACGTGTAGACAACGTGGTTTACTGTGGACACCACCACACGTGTAGACAACATGGTTTACTGTGGACACCGTGTAGACAACGTGGTTTACTGTAGACACCGTGTAGACAACGTGGTTTACTGTAGACACCACCACACGTGTAGACAACGTGGTTTACTGTGGACACCACCACACGTGTAGACAACGTGGTTTACTGTAGACACCACCACACGTGTAGACAACATGGTTTACTGTAGACACCGCTACACGTGTAGACAACGTGGTTTACTGTAGACACCGTGTAGACAACGTGGTTTACTGTGGACACCACCACGTGTGTAGACAACGTGGTTTACTGTAGACACCACCACGTGTGTAGACAACGTGGTTTACTGTAGACACCACCACGTGTGTAGACAACGTGGTTTACTGTAGACACCGTGTAGACAACGTGGTTTACTGTGGACACCACCACACGTGTAGACAACGTGGTTTACTGTAGACACCACCACACGTGTAGACAACGTGGTTTACTGTAGACACCACCACACGTGTAGACAACGTGGTTTACTGTAGACACCGTGTAGACAACGTGGTTTACTGTAGACACCACCACACGTGTAGACAACGTGGTTTACTGTAGACACCACCACACGTGTAGACAACGTGGTTTACTGTGGACACCACCACACGTGTAGACAACGTGGTTTACTGTAGACACCGCCACACGTGTAGACAACGTGGTTTACTGTGGACACCACCACATGTGTAGACAACGTGGTTTACTGTAGACACCGCCACACGTGTAGACAACGTGGTTTACTGTGGACACCACCACACGTGTAGACAACGTGGTTTACTGTAGACACCACCACACGTGTAGACAACGTGGTTTACTGTGGACACCGTGTAGACAACATGGTTTACTGTAGACACCACCACACGTGTAGACAACGTGGTTTACTGTAGACACCACCACACGTGTAGACAATGTGGTTTACTGTGGACACCACCACACGTGTAAACAACGTGGTTTACTGTGGACACCGTGTAGACAACGTGGTTTACTGTAGACACCACCACACGTGTAGACAACGTGGTTTACTGTAGACACCACCACACGTGTAGACAACGTGGTTTACTGTGGACACCGTGTAGACAACGTGGTTTACTGTAGACACCACCACACGTGTAGACAACGTGGTTTACTGTAGACACCACCACACGTGTAGACAACGTGGTTTACTGTAGACACCACCACACGTGTAGACAACGTGGTTTACTGTAGACACCACCACACGTGTAGACAACGTGGTTTACTGTAGACACCACCACACGTGTAGACAACATGGTTTACTGTGGACACCACCACACGTGTAGACAACGTGGTTTACTGTAGACACCACCACACGTGTAGACAACGTGGTTTACTGTAGACACCGTGTAGACAACGTGGTTTACTGTAGACACCACCACACGTGTAGACAACGTGGTTTACTGTAGACACCACCACACGTGTAGACAACGTGGTTTACTGTAGACACCACCACACGTGTAGACAACGTGGTTTACTGTAGACACCGTGTAGACAACGTGGTTTACTGTAGACACCACCACACGTGTAGACAACGTGGTTTACTGTAGACACCACCACACGTGTAGACAACGTGGTTTACTGTAGACACCGTGTAGACAACGTGGTTTACTGTAGACACCACCACACGTGTAGACAACGTGGTTTACTGTAGACACCGTGTAGACAACGTGGTTTACTGTGGACACAGCGTGATTTGCCGTGGACACCGCCAGCAACTCGGGAGTGTTGCACGCGTGTTCCCTGTGACAGCCCTTTTTAGCTCGATCCACTGCTGGATGAGCAAAGAGAAACCACGGTGGTTTGAGCCGGTGCGGTGTGTAAAACTGCGTTTTAAAATTGAAAGCTCGTTTATTTTGAACTACGTTTCGTGTTGAGTTGTCCTTCACCCGGCACCCCCGATTATTGTACATACATCGTGACCATTCATCACAAACTATGGACCACAATGGAACCACTGCAGTCTGCGAGGGGGAATAGAAAACTTCACTCTCTCATATTCTTGGTTCTTTTAGTAAAGTCACGTAGATAGAAAATAAAATGAAAATTTAAAAATAAATTAAAAATAAAAGCAAAAAAACTACGACGTTTCGATTGCAACACATGCGGTCTTCATCAGGCGGAGAGAAGACGAAACGTCGTGGTTTTTTCCTTTTAATTTGTTTATTTTTTAATGTTTTTTTTCTATCTACGTGACTTTACTGAAAGAACCAAGAATATGAATTCCTGCAGTCACGAAAGTTTTAAGTCAAAATTGAGCTCTCTCTCTCTCTCTCTTGAAGCCCTCTCGTCGTGGCTCGCAGACCTCGACATTGGCGTTTAGCTGCCGGACATATTGCTGCCATCATAAACTGCTTGTTGAGGGCCTTGCTTTGTAGAAGCTGTGTGTGGTTGTGTGCCAAATCATCAAGAGTGCAACAGCTACTGGGACGTTGATCTGTTTACTTTGGTTAGTCAAGGTAGTTTGTGTCGGGTGTTATTATTTTTTGGCTCGAAGTGATGTTAATTCTGGTAAATCATTTAAAATATTTTTCACCTTGAAAAAAAGTGGTCGTGCTGAATGGCATTTTTGTTAATCAATTTAGAGTGCAATGAATGTTCTGGGTTTGCAGTTGATCGTTTTCAGTTACCTTTTTTTTCCAGTAATTAGAGTATGTACTCGTAATTGTACTGATACGATATTTACTGTATGAATAAAATATTCCACTCAAGAGCTGGACAAACACTGTTGATATATATTTTTAGAACCGGCCACTACTCCATAAAGGCCTTCCA